AGCTCCACGTAGTTTAAAATGTATTCAAAAAGAATTAGCACGAGTTTTCGTGCACTTCTTTCATTCTTCATTAATCACAAGCAAAATAAAAAGACTGCCTTTAATAGAGATTCATATTTACCACCACGATTTCATAATTAAATATCATCTAAAAATGATTATGTATGTATGTATACATTTAACCTCTTCTAAATGCCGAAACCTCAAAAAATATTCCTCAAGCAAACTTTTAAATTGTAAGTGTTTAAAATATTAAATGTAATTTCAAACTAGCTCGAAATTTAAATAGACACTTAACATCTAAACATGTATTACATCAATATTATAGGATAATGTTTTGATTTCAAATAAAGTAAGTGTCTCTATTCCTTATTCGAATGCCTAACGCAATTTTTACCTATGTGTGGCCGTTGCTTTTTGTTACCTTTATCTATTTCCAATTATTATTTTTGTTTTTATTTGGAGATATGTTGGAAATGTTCATCATTTTTCCATAAACTGCATGTACTCTTGAGTTGTGCAGTCAAATACACTTCAACGTTTCGCCCATTTCTATAGTGTCTTGTTTGAGGCAGGGGAATATCGCCTGTTAATAATTAAATTTGACTTATTAAAATATCTTTTTATAAGCTCGATTTTTTCGAAGAACAGTGAGAGCTCTTATATTCGCCTAGGTGTCGGTGTCGGCGGCACTTATTGGTTGAGTATTTGCGTGCAAGTGTAAATCCAGAAATATTTAACAATTTGTTGAAAATTCACTCAATTATTTTAGAGCATATTACGTCATTATCCAACGCCAATATCTCTTTTGATGTTTTTGATTGAACTATAGCCCTTTTTTGCATGTTTTGAGCCTAGACATTCTGCATTTCCCAGGCTCTTGTTTTACTATCCAGCGCTGAGAATACTAGAGCGCACTGCTGTTGCTTCTAGATACTCGTATGTAGCGGTATTCAAAAATCCTGCAATGCAAATTTTTACGGTGTTATACAACTTTTGTATCATAAATTTGATGATCAAATCAATGGGACTTAAAGTTAATACGACGGAAACGAAAAGTGTCTTATTCCGGAAGAGGGCTGGGCTTGGCTATTTCAAAATAAACATAATACCTATAATGACCAATATTGTTAGTTTAAAAAAAGCATTATTTTTAAAAATAATATGAAAAAGGCAAAGCCTCAAAGCGAGCTCGATGCACTTTTTACGTGAAATAGTATGAAATAATCGCTCAATTTTATTTCAAATGCAGTAACAAGTGCGTGTGACGTCACACGTACTGTGTTAAATATGGCTCCGCCCCTGTCGTGAAATGAATAACGAGTTTTGAAAACGTTGATAAAACTTTGTTTATTTTGTTTCACTCTATAATTTTTCAAGCGAAATAAAGATTATCTAAAGTGAAATAAATGTAAAACTTAAAACGTTTGCGACATTAAAATAGCGTACTTGATTTGTTTGTTTTGCACGTGCTGTTTGGCGCTACATTGTGACGTCAAGTAAACAATACTTTTAACGTCTGTACAGCGTTAACGACTGAATAAAAGATATTGGTGTTCGGATTCATTTTCTTAATTAGACCATTTTCTTTCATTCTAGATAGTTTTCACAACAAAATTCGACAAAAAATTGTTCTTATTTATCAGATTTTTCAAACAAAATGGCGCCTTCAATTATTATTTTTTTATACACAGCTTCCGTTATTCTGGTTCCCTGTCCAACTATGGTTCCCATAGACGTGCGCGGGTGACCAGTCTAGACATCCGTTTTCAGTCAAAATTCCTCAGTTTTTATCGTTATCTTTAAATTCGAAAGGTTGCGATGTGTCCAATTCGGTACTTTGGACGAAAGTTTTCAAAACCATCACTTAGCAGGTACTCGCGTTACCGTAAAGCTCTTTTTGCGAGCAGGCCCTTCGGGCCAGCTCGTCGAGCTCGCTATTACCGAATTTACATCCATGAAAATGAAAGGATATAATTATAAAATCATTTTCGAAAAAGTTTCAGCCAGCTTTAATAAAAAAGTACGTTTTAATATATAAAGTCACTGAAACTTAACAAAACCGGTATTTCAAACTCCAATAATTTATTCTACTGCATTTAAGATTAAGGGTATTTTTCCTAATGTATGAGCTGAAGATGTATGTATATATGATGTAATGTTTTGATTCTAAAAATGGTCTCTGACTAGATGTATAAATTCGGTATACGAGGTAAACTATAGAGGATTGTTTGTGATATGTTCAGCAGAAATTGATCTTGTGTCAACTACGTTCAAACCTTTCTGACTTTTATTCATAAGCTGCTGGTCTACGTCAAGGAGAAGTAATGTCTATCGTAATGTTTTCCTTATCCTTGTAAGAGTTAGAATTATTTTTGTTGAATGATGTAAATAGTGGATTACATAATAACGCTCTAGTTATTAATCTAAGTCTTTTACATTTCGCCGATTGATATGACAATAATAGGTCAAACACGAAGTGCTGTACAAAAACATTATGATAATTTGTATTTGTATCGTAATACATTGGGACTTAAAGTTAAAAACAACGGACACTAAAAGAAGAGGACAGGGTTATTCCAAAATGAGCATAGGACCTATAATGACCAAGCTATTTAAGTTGAGAACGACTTTAATTGGCACTGCCTTTAACCATACAGTCACTTTTTCCTTAAACCAAGAACAACTGATTGTTAATTTCTAACATCAGTAAAATATAATTATGTAAATGTAATGAATTACATCTGAAATCAAAATAATTTTGTCGGTTATTTGACTCCTTTGTAGGATTAATATTCCATCATGCCTCTGAAATATGGGGTAATTCAAAGTCTAAACATTGAAAGAAGTCAACTTAAATTATGTTAAAGTTTGTGAAAGGCTAATATAAACGTAAGTAATGCTAGCGTTTATGCCGAGTTAGGCAGACATTCATTGTATGTTAATATATATGTTAGAATGATAAGGTATGGGTTATAGTTAAGACGGCTAATATTACTCTTAAAGCAGTTTACAACGACGCCGTTGCAGATTGTAACAAAGGTTTGTGCATTTGAGTGTAAAAATGATTAACAAAAAATATGTGATTGTGGCTAACCTTACATTTGTGATGAAATATACACTACTAGTAAAGGTTTTTAAATCGGTTTAAAAACTCGAGTTGTAGATGTTTGTAAACGAGATATTTATCACAAAATAAGTAGTAGCTTAGTAATTTGCGTTTATAAGAATGTTTTAACATTAATGAGCTATGAACTTTTGTCTATGAAAATAAGGATACGATTACTGAGCGTTATAGAGCTTTAGGGTAAACTACAGGTTTATAATTTCTCAGTATCCTACATTTTGTAAAGTCGAGACCCCTTAGGTCTATGTTTTGTTTTATCTTTATTTCTAACACTATTGAAGAACACCAATCATAGCTCTACGATTTAAAAAAAAGAAATCACAATTTGTTCGAATATGTTTTGCACTTATTATGAATAGGGCAATACTCATTTTAATGACATGAATTCTATACTGAGTATTCATGTTTAAAATTCACTCGGATTAAACTCAATAAAAGTGATTTCAATGCTGTAAATCACAACAAAAATTTCCATAAGTTGGTTCATATCCGTGTAAACAATCTTGCAAGCACTCAGCCATTTCGGTGAAAATATACTGCAAAAATAAAGAAAGAGTAGTTATAAATCAATAGAAACAGAGATCGCACAATATTTCCCTCTCATATATTAGGCAATTCCTTAACCGACTGTGCTCATTTGTAAGTGATAATGACCTTTACATAGAGCTGCTATGACTTTTTATAAATATTAGTTATATAGATCTACTCGCAAAATTCACGGACGGATTAAAGTGGGGGTCACATATTTAAATGAGTGTTGTAATGTATTCTATTGACAGACGATATAATGAATGCAACATCTAGCTAACTATGTACAGTAAACTTCACTTATAGCGAACACGGTTATAGCGAACTTCCGGTTTTGAGGAACAATTTATTTTGGCCCGAATTTTGCCCTTCTTTATTTAATATAAAATTATATGGTTAAAGCGAACACGGTTATAGGGAATTATCGCTTATTAGGAACTCATTTCTTAGTCCCAATTTAGTTAAAAGTACAGAAAATTACACTTTTATAACGAACTCCAAAATATTGGCTATCCGTAAATGGATCCCGCATTTTCAACTTTCGTTTTCATTGGCACGGATTCAAACTCGACCGAATGTACCGTTTATTGTTGTATGTACTTCAATACATCTATTAAAATGAATTTGTATAGTTTTCTATTTAGGATATATTTAGCATGAGCTCTTTTCACCAAGATAAAACTGTTATTTCTTTTCTGCAATAGTTTTGCTCGAGTAAAATAATTATAATAATTTATAATCGGTTTTCAACATAATCACGCATGCTTGCAAGCATGATCCATTGCAAACTCCAAAGTACGCTTGATTTAAATGAAAAGAAATCTATATCTTACATTAGTAAAATTCACCCTTAAATTATAATAGAAGATATTCAATATAAAAGGAAGGACAAATCGAAAATCTTGTTTATTCTCAATCATGGAAAGAAAACGAAAAGAGTTTATATTTTATGAGAAATTGAGATAGGGAGTAAAACTAAAACTGAAATAGCAATGATTTTCAAATTCCAAAATGTACGCTCTCGGGTATTGTGTCTAAAATAGAAATAAATGACTAATATTTCTTAATCAAATGCTCTTCAAAATGGCGGACAACGGTAAACAATCAGTTCGTTATATGTCAATCTGTTCGCTATAAAAACTCCTGATACAAGGAACTAATTCGCTATATGCTTACAAGGAACTCTGGATTTAAGGAACATATTTTGAATGTCCCAATGAGTTCGTTATAAGCGGAGTTTACTGTAAATGAATACGAAGGAAGTTTAAAAGTTACATTGGGGTTATAATATTACCACAGGACAGTATCTATTACGCTAGGTTTTTTATTATAAATATACCCTTCGCGAAATCTATGTAATTACAGTTTGTAAAATCGAGCGGTAGTCGAAATATTGAAACTACATTGCCATCAAATGGGTATTAACTGTGAAGTTCTTAACACGACATTATCTTTATTCAAATATTTACATAATTCTTTTTTAGTGTTGTTGCAATCGTTATATAGCATATTGGATATATTGTAGCAAGGATCTTTTTATATCTTAAAACGATTGGTTTATTCGTAAACAATTGATACAGAGTGTTTAACGAAATGTTGGAAAACGCAGGTAGGTAAAATGCTAGTGTTTTTGTTGTAATTTAAAGGCACATCACTGAGGGATTTAAACTTGACGCTAAAGGATTTTGTTTCTTTAAGCTTTGTTCGAATCATTGCCAAGAATCATTTATAATACTTTTATTGTGCAAAATGGCCAAAAAATGAAAAGCTGTTTAATGTTTCTTAATCAATTGATGCAAACTGCGCTGAATGGATTTGGGTTTTCATTGTGTTTAATGATATTTATTTTGATATTTTTTAAAGACTTTCATGACCTAAATGATTTCCAATACATCTTTTCAAACATATACAAAATGTTACCGCAAAATAGTTGGTTGAAAAAGAAATGATCAGTAACTTTTAGCCTTCTGTTTTGCATGTTACCCGTGTAACCTGAATTTTAGCGTATGCTGTTATACATACATTTTTGTATAAAAAAGAGACGGACGGGTCATAAATGATATTAAGGAGGTTTTATGGGTAGAAAATGTGTTTTGCTAGGTTTAAAGCAGAATAACTGTTTTGGTAGAAAATGTTCTGCATATGTACAGGTCTGTCTTTCAAATTGTATTCTTATTGACATATTTTTTTATTTTTATTAAAGAGGTTATATGGGTAGAAAATGTGTTCTGGTAGGTTAAAAGCAGGAAAATTGTTTGTAGAATTTTTTCTGCATATCTACAGGTCTTTCCTTTAACTTTGACATTTTTAGGTAATTTCAAAAACATGCGCATAATTATTTTCTTTATTAATACAAATTTAAAAAAGGAACACCGTCCACACCTTTCGACTAAAATTAGAATAACATTAAAAATAATATTATGTATTTTTATAAATGAAACAGGGCTTATAACCATTTTTTATAAAAATTCAATTGCAAAAGGAATAATGTACGTTAGCAGCTACTCAAAATATATATGAATCTTGGGATAAATGAAATAGCCAGCCATTTTCTGTTTACAATACAAATCATTAATACCTTCAAAATAGATAATACAATTTTATGCATGCACACACTTATTCAAATTTAAACGAAATTTTACTCATGTTTGGTCGGGTTCAAGCTATTGTCTGAGAGCCCTGGATGTTCATCACAGTAAAAAGTACAGGAACCGTACACAAAATAAATTATAAAAAATTATAGGATAAATAATAATTCAGTAATTTATGATTTGGAGACTTGATATTTTGCTAGACCAAAGTTTTCAGAATAATAAGAAATAGCACTCAATTAATGATAATGTTTATTATGATAAAAGTTCAAAATAAAATCTTAATTAATGCTATTTTTGAAGCCACAATAGTTATTTAAGTTTTCTTTGTTATTAGGATATGATCAGAATGAAGATGAATACACTGAAAAGAATGCCTCTTTTGTGTTGGGTGTGCCATCTACCTACCAAATGACATCACCGCAGCAAGAGCCTGAACATCTTACATGCAAGCCCGTTACCGAACTTACAAATACAGAAGTGGTAAACAATTTTTTTTGCAATTATTTTCACGATGTTGCTATGGTGTATTATGGACATTGCCTATATAAGATATTGTCGTTTTCGGTGGATTTATTCAGATATTCATCAGTCGCATCTTTTTCTAAGATTTAGAAATACACCTTTTTATATTGTCTTAAATATCACCAAGGCCAAAGTCCATCAAAACCTGAAGAATAGATAATTAATTAAGTTATCGTTCTTTTAATCTCCATCTACATAGAAATGAAAGAGCATTAGTTATACAGATTCTTGGCAGCATATACGGGGGAACATAGCCTAAGTGAGATATATATGGCCCGAGGCCACACCCGTGGGTTCTATAATGTCACAAAGCCTACAGTATCCTTTGTATATTCTTCCAGCAACTTGTATTATAAATTTATTATCATGTAAATTGTTACAGATGACAGTTTCATAAAATAAATCGCAGCAACTATATAATCTGTTTTCATCAAAGAGAAAAAGGCAAGTAAAGAATGTGTCGTCAGACGCTGAACGGGTACGCAAACGATGCGCTATAAAAAGTAATTCAGTTATATAGCCATCATTGTGGTGAAGCTTTAAACCATTTTTTGAAGTAATTATATTAGAATCGAGATATATGACATTAAGAACTAAACGCAATGATACAACTATATGCACATATAATTAACCTCTAACTGATGCAAACATTGTTATTTGTGCGTAGTTCGGTTGCTCACAGTTTATACGGCACAAATTGTTTAAGCCAATCAAACATCGAGAAATTTGCACTGTTAGAATGTGGAACATACTACTAATATTGTCATTTTTTGTATCCTTACTAGTATTTGAAACTATCATTGTAATAACAAACTAGGTTTGTGATATAGATTGTCCAAATAAATTAGAACGAAAGTATTATATTTTCTAACATAGGTAATGCGCCAGCCACAACCAGGGCCTGTGATGAACATAATTCAGAAACCACTTCCAAACCATATTGTACCTGCCTTGTTCGTCTGCTGTATGTTCTGGCCAACAGGTCTAGTCGCAGTATATTTTGCATTCAAAGTAAGTGCAGTTCTTAATTTTCTTTTATTTTAAGATATTTTAGGTATTTCAACAAGTTATTAATAAAAAAGCGCCAGTGTCCGAAACGCATTTGTTGTTTGCATTTCGTTTGTTTGCCTGGTTGTTTGTGTTGTATGTTCACTAGTTTTAATACATATTTGGACATATTCCGGCGTTTAATCCACCTAACCGACTTATCTGGATAGCTAACTAGTATTATCCGATTTAACTGCAAGACATCGACTTTTTATCCCACATGATTTCTAATACAGCGACTCGGGACGAATGGCTATGATATGTAATGGCCTTGATCGATTGTCAAGGAGAAAATACGCCTTGCCAGCTGATGGAACTAGCGGTCCCTGTTCTTTCTTAAATGAGTTAAGCGCACAAAAGGGATTAATTGATTGATTGATTAATGAATGGATGTGTGTTTGTGCGTTTGCGTGCGTGCGTACGTACGTATGTACGGATGAACCGTAGGGTTAACGTTTCTTTTGTCTAAAATAGCTTGTTTCGTGCGTGCGTTTTTTATAGTTCGTGCGTACGTATATCTTGCAACGTGCGTTTGATAATCGCGATCTAAAGCGTGCATCGTGTACAAACGTTTATCGTTTGTGTCGTGCGTTTGAAAGCGTACGTTTTTATTCCCCCGAAACGTTTAGCATGTGTCTGCGTTCGTCAAAAAGTTTAAGTACCGTGTTTTGCATCTCTTACAATTGAGGAGTTAAATAATATCTTAAATATATCTATTTGTATATATCGTTTTTTTTTTAAAGACGTTAAAGTTGTTCAGTGTCTCTTTGGAAGAATAGATACATTAATTTTGTGATGTTTACATTAACGTTTGTGACCTGATGTTGAATATCGGATTTCGATGTGCTTTACACCTATGAGTACAGTTAAAATACTTCTTTACATAAGATAAGGATTTCATTACTCTTTCATTGCAACATTTGTGATAGCCAATTCAGCAAACATGTGTTTATATACGTACCAACATATCCATGACGTTTCTCCAAAGACTGTACACGAACACTGTTTTGGGAGATAATTATTTTAGTCGGAATATGTGCAGACAGTTCTTCCTGATTTTTTTCTAATTAACAGATTGATATCGATATCAGCCTAGCAGGGATGCTAACCACTGACACTTGAAAATCCATTCCGTGGCTCTTCCCGCAGAGCTATTCGGAGACTTACACTTTATCTCCCCGTCTTACTGAACAAGTTATCTCGTTCTCTTGACAACAAATACAATATTAATATATATTATATATATTTTTTACTACAAAAACAATACATTTATTGATAGTTCCATTATTCATAAATGTATAGTGCAAACTGTACTAATACATTGTATTATTTCTATATCTTTGTACAAATAAAATAGCTAGACTTGTTTGTTTAAGATAAGAAAATTCTATGGTGGTTGATTTGTGCCATGTCGTACTTCTGCTTCGCTAAGCACCTCGAAAACTCGCAAATATGACAAAGTAGTTTTGTCGTAATTTCCCCCGGAGCCCGTAGCACTTTGTTGTTTTTCAATGTCTTTGTACATGCATATAAAAAAAACTTCGATACGTCCCATACAAAGGTCCAAAATGTCTAAAGTATGGTCTGAATAGTCTTACGTATGGTCCGAAGTGTTGAAATGTCTAAATAATCTGGTTCTGCGTGTTCCCATTACAAACTCAAGCAATATGAAATTTAGTTTACAAGTTTATTCAAGTGCAAACACACACCTTTTTTAAAAGAAGTTTGTAGCAGGATTGACATTGTCCGAGAACTGATTGACGAAACCAGTGTCCCTCCATAACATAAATAAGACATTTGCCTACAATTTACTACCACATATCAGAAATGATCAAAATAATAATTCAGCATATGATATTTTTAAGATTTGATGTTTTGCAAAACCCAAGTTAAAGGACCTTTTCTTCCATTTAATGCTCAAATCTGACCTGCTGACAGGTGTGTTGCAGTTGCCGAAAAATCGCCCGGTGCAATAAAACCATGAACCCTGCCATCCCTGATAATTGACATTAATTTAACCTCAATATAAGATAGGTCTTACCTGGCATATTTCAAAAGTTCTGAAAATAAAATAATGAAAACAAACAAGGATGTCCCAAAGTTAGACATACAATCAAAACAAACAGGCTACGCCACACTTTACAACATTCTCATTACTGTATAATACACAAAATTAGTAACCAGCTAAGACTGGGTTTAACCCTATTACTGGGCAGTCAAATTAAAGACATTAATATTCAGAGGCATGACCAGGGATACCCTCAAATGCATGGTGAAATTTGACTTTCATCACCTGTATTTGATTTTTTTCTAATTGAATTGCTTTTATTTTTGTCTGGTTGTCAAGCAGCATGGCTTAAATTTATCATAAATGATATTTTAAAAACCCCTAAAACTCTTAATTTTAATAATTTTAAAGTCCCGGTGATCTTTATAATATTTTTATAATAAAATCTTATCTGACTGACCAGATTTAAATGAATAAATGTAAAATTCTAAGCAACACCGGTTAATATTAAACATATCTTTTTTTAATTGACAGCTAAGTTTCAGACTTGAGTAAGTTATTTCATATCATATAAACTGAAACTATGTAAATACATGCATATAATATGCAGTCTCATTATATCTACATGTATATACATATCACATTAATAATTTTCAGTATCTGTGAAACTTATAGGAATCCAATTATCATAAGCACTTGTACTGAATTTGGATGAAACACTTAAGTATATGGTATAACACTGACATTTTTTTTTTCAAATAGTCTACTTCTTATAGAAATGGAGTTGTGTTCAAGCGTTAAATATATATCTCTTATAAAGAAACAAATACTCTTCCTCTTTCAAACTTTCACCAGCCTAAAAAACAAACTTACTTTAATTTAGAGACTGTATATACATAAAGTGTTCAAAATTGATGCCCCGGACAAAACATATGCAACCGTTCAATAGATCGGCAGACTGATAGACGGACCACCAGCTGACTCGTTTGACGGGCGTTTATAAATAATAAGAAAGTTTCTGTAAAGCCTGTAAGTGCCTTACAGGCTTTACAGAAACTTTTGTTATATGCCAGGTTATTGCTTTAACCTAATTGTTATGAACAGCTAGAATTGTCCTCAGGCTCAGTGTGAGACTAAGTCATGGAAGGTAGTGGTAATAATTGTGGGTCAAAAGTAAATAAAAAGTTTAAATAATCAATGTTTTTGATATTGTTAACTTTTAATGATGGGTCATTATCGAAGAGTTTTAAAAACAAAATTTTTGCGTTTGGCCCATATGAAAAAAAAATTTTTAAAATTGACTTGACATCTGGCATTTTTTCAAAATGAATCACTAATATAGGGAAAATTAACATATTAGGGTAATTTTTTTACTTGTGCCATGGTCCAATCTTGTGCACTCTCGTCTTTAATTTGGAGGTCTGCACTTACCAATTTTGGGTTTTAAAAGGCAAATTTGGTCTAATGAAATATTTTTTCTGCTCTAATTGCATTGTGGGGGAGGGTGTGTGTGAGAAATAGCACAGTCAGTACAGCCTCCATATTGTATTCTGAAGGTCCGGGGTTTTCGGCCAGACTGTATATTTTCGACGCCCTCTGAATATCTTGGCGCATAGATTTGTGGGCACATAGGGTGAAGTCCACTTAATCATTTATTTTTTTTTTTTTTTTTTAAAATATTTTTTTTTTTTTTTTTTTAATCCTCACCAGTGAGTTTTATTTAGGGATACCCTGAAAATGATTAAGATTATTATTATACCACATGGGTATTGTCCTCTACCGGTTGTCATCAGAATTTATAAAGAGTTCTCCTCGGTGAATTTAAACACCAACCGTGTTTTGCAATGTTTGTTCTCTTTGTGTAAAAATGTCATTTCGTTTGTTAATATGTAAATGACTAGATGATTTGATTGTTGGTTTGCTAAAGTTTCTAACAATTTATTTTTTGTTTACGTCGGAAGCGGTGTCGACGTAATAAACGTCTATCTAAGAGATTCCTGGACTAAAGCAAAGTATTTTTCAGAAGTGTGCATAAAGACGAACCCGCTTAATTATTTTTTTAATGTTAGCGCATGCTGATATTTTAAAAACAATCATTTGTTGAGGTTGTGACAAAAATTTAATTTTGTGCCAGGTTGAGTGCATTTTAATGCTCAAAAACTTATACCTTTTTTGAAATAAATGCTCGCTTTCATTTTAATCAAATCGCTTAACCTTAAGCCTTTAAAAACTTACAATTTTTACGCTTTGAAAAATTCGACTTTTTATTTTGGGCGTGCGTTCTAGCGTTCGAAAGAGAGCGATATTTAGCGAATTTCGGTTTGGTGTCTATCGAATCAACGTGCTCGTGCTCTTTTGTTTTGCAAGCCGTTCGTGAAAACGTTCTTTCTTACAGCGTGTAACATGCATGCTTTCTTTCGAGTTTGCGTGTTAACAGCTTTAACCCTTCTGTATGTATGTACAATATATGTTTCTGCCGTCTCATGCATGTTTGTGTATGTGGAGATAAGTTCTCTGTCAATTTTTGAACGGAAAGTGATTCGCTTATTTGATTGTATGAAAACCAGAGCGAGAAGGGACAGATGAGGTCCCAAGTAGGCGGGGCGGCAAATGAGGCCTCACAACGTACGGTATTTTATACGTATAGGCTTTTCCCTCAATATTGTGTTTTTTGTTTTACAGCAAAATGACGTTCCTGTCTTATATTGTATTTTGCTTTTGTAGACACGGAATCTGAAACTCTCCGGCGACTATGGTAATGCCAAAAAGATGTCAGACTGTGCAAGAAAATGGATAATTGCTACAATATGTATCGGATTGATTCTCGGGTTCTTTTCAGTTATCGTATACTATGCCGGAATGATGATTTTGTACAGCAAAAACAAATAATACAACAACTAGGATATACAATGCCAATGTCCATTGCATACTCGAACAGACTGACATGATTCTATATTGAGATAGAATTTATTTCTGAAACAATCTGAACTGATATAAACATTTATTATTTGCGTACTTTTGATCATCATTAATGTCATATCATTATTGTTTGTTGTAAATATCTTTCTATGTAAGTACACAAAACTTTTTTAGAAATAATTCTTTTTTTTTGTATATAAATCAATATTCGGTTAAAAGTTTTATCTTATATAAATTTACATTCGGAAAATGTTTTATCTTATATTCAAATACACGTTTTTAAAATTTTTAAAATTTTATAACTTTTACATAAATTCCCCCCAAAAAAACGCAAATATGCCCAAAGTTTTTTATTATTTTTTTTGCA